CGTATCTATCTAGTCGAGAATTCAAAATCGAAGCTAAAACTCTCTCTCTTTCTATCGGGCCGATAGAACCGTAACACGTCTCTGTGTTCGACCGTTCGTTCCTCGATAATATGTATAAGTAATATATATATATATATATATATACAATGTACATAGGTACGCCGATACAAGCTTGCAACAGCTTGCAGCTCTATTTACATATTGCGTTTCCTTTCTTCCGTATATATATATATATAATAATAGATATGTACAACGTGTGTGGATCTCTAAATCGCCATTAAAATACGATTTTTCCCGGTGATCCCGGCGCAAAGGAGATGGCATGTTTATACTTTATCGCTCGGTGAAAAGTCGTCAAGTAAAGTGGGAGAGGGAGTAGAGAAGAGAAGAGTCCCTGTCGAACTAGATTCTCACGAGACGCCATTCAGAAATTTCGCATCATACAGTTTGCGCGCGCGCAATCTGTTCGCGAATAGAAGAGAGAGAAGAGGCTCTGATATCGAGGGACCGGAGACAACGGAAAAGAGAGAGAGAGAGAGAGTGTGAGAGGAGAAGGAGAGGGGGAAGAGGCATAGAATAGGGAGGATAGACCGAGGGGAAAAAAGACGGAAGGGATGGAAAAAAGAAAGGGGGGAAAATGCAGAAGTGGAAAAGTGAACAATCACGCCTTTTACCGATGAAACAAAGCAAGAGCGAACACGTATTCAACGAGAAAAGAAAAAGGATCGTCGCGGACAAATATTTCTAAAGTAGTAGTAGAAGTAGTGGAATAAATACTCTCGGCTAATCGCCTATTCCTTTATCCGCTAATAAGCTACGCTAATAACGTCTCCCTGTGTTGAGCACAGCCCAGATAAAAGGCGAAATAACTCGACGACGATCTCTCGAGGTACATTGGATGGTACAATCGTTCGATATCGATACCACCCATTAACCTTGGATACTTGATATACGAGATCCAAGTGAGAAAATAATATCTTTCATTTATCAATTATCCAAGGTACTCTGGGACACGTTTTACGTATCGTTCGTCAAGTATAATGTATAATATATCAAATCCGTCCCCTTTGCGGCATCGAAACAGTGAAACGCAACAGGCGAGACAGAAGCTTTTTCTCATCGAGAGAGGAAAGAAAGGAATGAAAAAAAAAAAAAAAAGAAAAGAAAAAGAAGTAAGTATCACAAGCAGAAGAGAATCGGCGCGAAGCTAGACGAGATAGGCCTGGCCGGAGGATGGCGGTGGGGGCGGAGGCGGGGGTTGCTGTTGTCTCCAGGCAGTTCTCTCCAGCGTCGAATAATCCGAGTCGATGGACGAGTATATGTGCTCGGACAGCGGTCTTCTGTGATCCTCGCTGCTGCCGCTGCTGACCGTCGTGTTCGTGGCGATGAGATTGTTACCTGGCACGGTAACCGCATCTCGGTAGGCGTGATTGACGGTCAGCCTGGGTTGCGGGGACGAAGGTGGCAGTTGTTGTTGCGGCGCGGAAACCGTGCCGCAGGAATAGGCAGGCGGCGCGTGTTGCAACATTAATGCGGTGGTCGGGGACGAGTCTTTGAACAGGGAACGTTGTCGTTCTTGGCCGCGTAACGTCGACATGCTCGTCTTCTCGCTACCGACACCGTCCAACGTGTACGTATTGATGTTACGCTTGTAGACGAGCGGGGACGATTTACTCTCGATCGATATATCGCCCATAGTGCTCGCCGATGGTATCGCGTATCGAAGACGTTCCCAGAACCTCTTCTCGTTCCACGTGAGGATCGCTGCCGCGGTTCGAAGGTACGGGCGTAGTTCGCGGTCCAGTTCCACCTCCGGATACGCGTTTTCCGCTTGGACGATGATCAATTGCGCGGTCCGGCCGCGGAGGGCTTCGTGAAGCGCGGCGCGGAACTCGAATCGGGACCATTCGGTGAGCAGGAAGTTACGAGTGAGGACGATTAGAACGCGGCGCGACGCGTGCACCGCCTCGAGGACGACCGGTGCCGGGGTGGAAGCACGGAGTACGCAGGGTAGGTCGCGATGATGCAGACACAGCCTGAGGCCGGCCGTGCCGTGTTCGAGTTCCACGGCCAACGAATGCAACACGAAATCCTCGTCGTTGGGGCTGTAACAAACGTAACAATCGTAGAGACGTTCGCGGTCGGAGTCGCAGCAGGCGGCCATCGGAGCAGCGGACGCCATGGCCGCGGTTCCGCTCGATTTGCCGGGCTTTGCGCGCAAAAATCGTAACCCGTACTTGGAATATGCCCAGGCGCCGACCGACTCGCGGAATATGAACGCAAGCACGATGATCACGAGGAGGACGAGCACCCCCGACAACGTGGCGGCCACCAGTGGCAAGTAATCGGACACCATGATGCTTTCTATCACGCCACCCTGAGAGAAGTAATCGGAACAGACCGTCTCGTTGACGTTCAATCGCCGCCTGTAAGCCGGCCTCGCGTCACCCCCGTAGTAGCACCAAACGTCGCTCGCGTCCACCACTTTGTGCGCGTTGTCCGACACCCACGAGGACAATTCTTGCAAGAACTTGCAACGGCAGGACCACGGATTACTACCGAGAGACAGCTCGACCAGGCGAGCGTTCAGGGTGACCTGCCAGACCGGAAAAGTCACCAATCGATTCCCGCTCAGCCTTAATATTTCGAGGGAACGTAACGGGAGGAAGGTCAGGTTACCGATGAATCCGATCAGATTGTTCTGGAGGTAGAGTTCGCGCAGGTGGGACAGCCGTTCGAACTCGAAGCCCTTCAACTCTCGTATCCGATTTTCCTCGAGGTGTAGGATCTGCAGATTGTTCAACCCGTTGAACGTACGATTCTGGATCGATTCTATACCGCTCCCGTTCACGTACAGCACCCGCATATTCTTCCGTCCGATGAAGACGTGGTTCTGCAACTCGCGTAACACGTTGCCATCCAAGTAAACCTCGGTCGCGTCCATCGGGATCCGACGTGGTATCTCCTCGACGCCCAATCCGGAACAGTCCACTGCGTTCGTGTTCCACGTGCGATCGTTGTAGCACTTGCAACCCGCTGGACAGGTCATCTCGCAGTCGCAGGCGTCGAAATCGCAACAATGACACAGGGCGAAACAATGGGCCTCGTATCGGCAGAGAAATTGCTCGGATCTCGCCGTCGAGGCGGACACGATAGCTACGCCACGTGGTCCGGATGTGCGACACATCACATTGTCCAGGTCCATGATCCGTGGATATTCCCTGGTCGAGGTCTGATTGTTAATTCCTGGCAGCCAATCCATCGAGCAGTTGCAGTTGAAGGGATTACCACCGATGTAGAATTCTGGAAGGGGTCGGTCCTCTGCTACCTTGGTCAGCAGCAACGACGTCAGTTCCATCGTTTCGATCATGTTCGCGTACATGTCGACCCTGGTCAGATTCACCTTTTCCGTGAACGTGTTAGATCGCACCAGATTGATGTAATTGTTGTTTATGAACAGCAACTCGACGCTGTTCGGCACGGACAATGGGGACAGTTCCGTGATACGATTGTGACTAGCGTCCAATGTCTTCACCTTCGAATCGCGAATCTTGTAATAATTTCCTAAACTCTCGATGAAATTTCCGTGTATATCCAGCCATTTCAAATTTCCCGGTATGAACGCGTAGTCGAACCACTCGATGTGATTCTCCGACAGATTCAATAATAATAAACTGGCAATGCTGGTGAAAACACCGTTAATATCCGAGAGGAAGTTGCCGTCGAGCCTGATCGCCTCCAATTTCATGTTCCGTTCGAACGCGTACCTCTCAACGTGTTGAACCTTGTTCCTAGCCAAATTTAAAATCTGCAGATTCGGTAGATCCCACAGCATACCGCGCGAAAGATTCCCAATGTCGTTGCCGATCAACCGCAATCCTGTAAGTTGATCGAGATTGCGGAACGAGCCATTATAAAAATTGCTGATCCGGTTCTCGCCTAGGTCGAGAGTTTTCAGAAGAGCGAGATCGCGTAGCGCGTCGGGCACGGACGTAAGCTCGTTACCGCTTAAATCCAGTTCCTTCAGGTCGGAACAGTTGCGAAACGCGAGCGGGTCGATGCTCGCGATCGCGTTGCCGGACAACGTGAGTCGATTCAGAACGAACAGACCGTTGAATAGTTGCGCTCCCACGGTGTGAAGCTTATTATCGGACAGCTCGAGGGTGTGTAGATTGTAGAGAGGCAAAAAGGCGTTACTCTCTATCCGATCGATCGAATTGTTCCTAAGATCGAGAATTTGAAGGAAGAAAAGATCTTTGAACATACGAGCGTCGATGTGCGTTAGCATGTTGTAAGACAGGTTGAGAACGATCAGTCGTATTAGCCCGAGAAACGTGGTCTCGTCCACTCGATCGCTGCCGAGCCGATTACCAGCGAGATTGAGTACCAGCAGCTGCTCCAGACGGGTGAATATACCCTTGGGCAGGTCGCGGAGCCCGTTGTACGCCAGGTGTATCTCGCGAAGATCCCTTGTGCTGGCGAACAATCCTTCGGGCAACGAGTCCAGAGAATTATAACTGGCGTTAAAGGTACGCAACACGGTAAGCCCGGTGAGCGCGTCACCGGCTATTTCAACGATCGCGTTCCGTTGCAGGTGTAGCTCTTGAAGTTGGCGAAGATCGAGCAACGGACTGTTCTCCTGTAAACGCGTAATCTCATTTCGCGACAGATCTAAAATTCGAATGTCCGCGCGGCACGATGACTCACCGTTTCCGTCGGATCCGTCATCCGAGTCACGTCGATTCAATCCAATGTCGTTTATATCGCGTAAACGATTCTCTGTTAAATTCAACGTTTGTAGATTATCCAAGGAGCAAAGCGAGTTCACTGGTAACGCTTGCACATTACTTTCCACAATTTCTAACGTATGCAGTTCCCGTAGACCGAGGAAAGAATCCGGAGCGAGTTCAAGAAAACGGCTTGCACCCCATACAGAGTTAAAAGTTTGTACAGTCAGTTTCTTGAGTTCTAGAAGCGGTTGGAAAGCACCTTCGGGTATTCGCAATACTTTACAACCGTGCACGTGCAGCTCGTGCAAACTAGTCAAACGTTGCCAACTTTGTGCGTTGAAGCTGCTTTCGAAGTGATGGACGTCGCTGCACCGTATTCGTAATTTGAGAGCGCCGTCGAGTGACGCGACTAGACCAGTAATCGCGCCAGGATCTAATACTCGAAGAGTGCAGTCCGCGGAACGTGTGTCGTTACCACCCTCGGACAACCACTTGCAAGAGGTTCCTGCCGATTCCGAGAGTATGGTTAATGCAAGGCAAAGAAAAGCTGCGTTGATCAGCGTCATAAAAACATACTTCGCTGTCATCTTGCGTGACGGTGGTTGCGCGCGGCTTTTCGATTAACTTGTAGCCGAGAAATGGACGCGATCACAATCGCGACCACGACACCGTGATCAACTCTTTTCACTTTTGAAATTTAGCCAAATTATTTTCACCCTTTTTCATCCCTTTCTCGCGTTACACACTCGCACAGCGATGACACACGCACGCACATACACACGCGAGCGAGTGCGAGCGCGCGCGCGCTCATGCACCTCCTATCACGTAAGTACGGATCGGCCCATTTCTCTTGCCCTTTATTCGTGGGCTGGTGACGAGGCACCCTGCCCTACGTTCCTTTACTTTTCCTTTACTCGCGATCTTTTCAACTGGTCGACTATTCCTCGTTCAACTGTTCGTTCTTGACTGTCGATTAATTTTTCTTTCTTCGTCCACTTTTGTTACTTGTATGTCTTTATATGCTAATGTTTTTATGTACGTACACTATCACGGCAAGTAGTACGAACGCGCTTTAACGAAACGACAGAACGAAAACAGTCCGTGCACAACTCATATACGCGAAGCGCCCGTGCGCTACCGTACACTCGCCTCGCATCAAGCACTAGCACTGATCCAGCAAACCGCTGAGCGCGCATCATCGGCATTCCCGACTGTTCCTCTTCGATTTCTCTCTCCAACGGCAGAGTGCGCCACTTTATTAGAATATCCTGCAAAGAAGCCGGCACGAATAAGAACAGAATATAAAACATAACGTTCATATGCGCCTTGGTATGTGTACTGGTTTTACTCTGCTCTCTGCTGATTGGTGCATTTTTTCTCTATCCTAATTATATGTGTTAAGTCGTTAGAAAATGCCTTAATCAATGCTAGTTCGAAATTTAAATTTGAGAACGTTATAATGAAATATAATTTTATATATATTTTAATTTTGTAAACTTCGAAATTAATAATTATTTTCAAGTTTTGTGTAGTAAATTATTTTCGAGATAAATTATTTTGAAATATATTATTTGAATATATACTTTCATATATTTATGTATTTTAATTCTTATATATTAAAAATATCTATATTTATAAAAATCTGTAATATTTTGATTTCAAATAAGATTTTGTATATGTAAAAATTTATAAATACATGTATAAAATGTATAAAATAAAATTATATGATTCGTATATATTTGAAAAATTTATAAAATTGATTCATACTTATTAAATTATCATAATATTGATATATATTTAAAAAATGCAAAATTATTGCATAGATGATATCAATATTTTATTTTATAATATTTATTTAATAATAGGTTAAAAAATAACATATTTCAAGTTTATATACATTGTATAAACCATCTAGGGAATATGTTTAACAAGTGAAGTTATATACATAGCGTCGCTACTGTCTTCGTATAGTTGCAATTGGTGGAAGCTGATGCTAGCGACCAGTTCAATTTCAGCAGAAGCTTACGTTGCACGCTTCTTTGTAACAGATTTGTAACGGAGAATTTGTCTATAAACATTTAATTTTGTTAAAAAACATACGTGATTATTAAAATTGTTTTCATTTAAAAACCATAAAAATGAAATTAGTGCATATAACCTGCATTTTATTGGTTACGACAATCAACTGCATTGCGAGTAACAATGGTAAGTATTAATATTTTATGTTTGCTTTGTTAATGTCTATTAACACAATATGTGTTGCATTTCATTCGCGTGATATTCTATTCAAACTTTTGTATATCATTATTAGCTCATATTATTATTTATTTTATATACACGGAAAACATTCACGAAAAATTTAAACGGAAAATTCGTTCTCAGATGTCGGCAACTTACGTGGCGTTTAAATGTGCTAAATGTTTCGTATTTAGCTATGTAAATGAATACGCAAAGTTTATTTTCAAAATTTCTTAAAATATTGCATAAAATATTCAATTTATGAAAAGTAGCAATATGTATTATATGATTTTTTACATATTTTTAATTTTACGCAGTAGTGGCACGTTCACTTGTATCATATTACACAAGACGACAGGTCGTTGCTATGTTTTTCGATGTCTCTAGAAACGCGTTCCTAAAATCCGTTATTTCTACATGATTTAACAGTTTATTTAGGCTTTTTAATTATGTTTCATTATTTTATGCGTAGAATTTTATTATTATCCATTTTATATTTCTACTTCAGAATATTTTGTAATGTAAAATTATTAATTTTAACAAAATGTCGAAAATATTTATAGAAAATTCTTTTATATGAATTAATTTTATTTTATTTGCATGTAAATTATTAATTTTTATTATTAAAATTTTTAAGAAAATTCAATTATAAATTAAATATATATATATATATATATTTTTATTAATATGAATTAATTTT